GTGGCCAAGTACTTGCGTTGCATGTAAACAAACGCAGTGACATAACTGCAATTACTGCATGATCTAACGCCGAGAGAGGTGGAAAGGCGCGTCGGCGAGACATTCGGGTCAGTGCAGCACGTGGGTTCTATTCCGGTCCGAGGCACTATTCTGGGTAGTGCAATATCGGTGTGATGACGTTTTGAATCCGTTAAAAATTGCAAAAGATGTACTAGCCAAAAGTACACGTACAAAGTAAAGAAAAATAAATTATGTGGAGAAAAATACCATTTCGGCGGTTTTGTTGCCGTCTCTCTTACATCTTGTATTTGGAAAACTACAACCTCATGTGCAAAACAAGGATTAAATATAATGAAAAAAAATTCAACAGTCAGATTTTTTTCATCCTAAACGAGGAAGCTCCTTATGGAAAGTGATGATCAGACCGAAGGTGGAAGCGAGCTTCACCCGGTATTCTCAACCGGTTTAGGAATAATTATTTGAAATATTTGTTATATAAGCAGTTCTTTAACTAGCACTCTTTGCTTTTTAACCGACTTCAACAGAAGGAGGAGTTTCTCATTCAGTTGTTTTTTTTCTCATGACTTTATAAAGTAGCAAGTTAGTATTGTAACTAACGCCCGTATTCACAAAATTCGCCCGTGCTTGCTTAAGTGGAGCAGCAAATAGAACGCACAGCGTTGAATAGAGCTCTGTGATTGGTTCGTGTGTCACCCTGTGCGTTCACGCGCACTGTGAGACCTCATAGTAATGTTTGTGAATGCGAAAATGACCGAATATTCTAACCTAGACACAGAATAAGGCGCTTCAGCTTCATCGTGGCAGATCGAGGTCCGCATTGACAATCGACTGACTCAACAATCGTGTGCCAGCCTTCGACTGTAATCGACACTGTACCTACATTAGTGACATTCAGAGTACTTATACAGGGTGTAAAAAATACAACATAGAGATGCTGAACTTTGTGAGAAAATTTATTGGACTGAGTAGGCACTTGCACAGCGATAAACCTACCCTCGCAACATTATAGATGTAAGGTGCGTGTCTGACACTCACTGTTTGAGAATACTGCTTTCTGAAAATTCCTTCAGTTAGGTAAAAAGTAAAATATAATAGTTAACAGCTTCAGTGAATGTAAAGGAAATCAATAAAAAAAACTATACAGATATGCTCTTTTGTCACAGGTACCTAATCTCCTATCTCACACATAGAGAAAACTATTTTTGTTTTGTATAAAATGAAAAAACTTACCCATGATTGATGATTTCGTTTGCTTGCACAGTATAATTTTCATCCAAAGTTAGGCACTTCAAAGTCATTTAGGTATCACTTCATATCACAGTACTTCTTGAATCACAATTACTTTGGTTTTTAATTTTATATAGTCGTTCACTGTTTAATGTATTATAAAATTTTGTTCACTACCTGTTTTTAGGAAAAATAATAATTTAATACAGATATTGTTTTAAGGAATAATTCGCTGGCATTTGTCTTTTATTTACCAACTTATCTTATTTCTCTATAATAAGTATCTATTTACTCAGCTATAGTTACCTTAACTTTTCCTGTTATTAATATTAATTATGAAAATGTAGGTCTCTAGCTCTACATTTCTAGAACACATAATAAATAATTCCACACAATATAAGGGAGGTCATATGAAGAAGATTGTTAGTTGCTATCGCAAATAGCATTAAGAGATTGAAGTTAAAACTACTTCGTCATCAAGATAGGCAACCCATAATACACAATAATACCATAAGTAGTCACTGTATTCTGCTGTAGACACTGTATTCTATTGTAGAGTCAGTAATTTGTCGGGAAATCTGTGAAAAGTCGGTTGTCACCGATGCCGGCGATGGCGGTGACCGCACTAAGTCTCTTTATCACCATTATAAAGTTTTCTATTGTAGGGTGTGCAATTCTTCGTAGAATATGAAGACAGTCCTGTCTAGTTAATGCAATAGACAATAAAATTAAGAGTGGCCATATTTTTATAATATATGAAGATGATTAGGAGCCGTAAGATATAATTAAAACTGTTTGTTACCTATTAATCTTAATAGGTGACCACTGAAATTACAACCTTTGTGTTGAGCTCCAAGAATGTTTTGAGCCTCCAAGAGTCTGACATAATATTATGTAGCTTAATGAGACTGACATGTAAGCCTTGCTGACATGAAATAATCATACAACAGCGTCACTAAACCGGTTTATTGTAGCAAAAAGCCTCGAGAACTATTATTTAAATTCCTTGGAACCCTTGGTTGAAACTGATTAAACACTGAAAATTATTAATTAATGTATCCCAGATATTTCATATCTTTTGGACGCAGTACAGAGTAAATGAGCGTCAACAAAGAAATCGCAGCGTGAGCTTGCATCGGGCAAAACAAAAAACGACCGCACCGCGACGCTTTCGCGAGATCGCGGCGCCTGCGCACATTTCTTACGCCCGATTTCCATCATAGCGCGAGAACAGATGTTTTTGAATAAATAAATTGCACCAAAGAAGAGATGTGTTGGAATATATCAATCAGATTTCGTTATTTCCACAACACTTCTCGCTCAGATTCGGTTCAGAAATCTGAAGTAAGCATTTGAGCAAGATGCATTAAGCGATGTCGAAGCGAAATACTACCAGTAACAATTAGAATTTCATCAAGCTTAATATTAATTTTCGGTTCTTCAGTAGGGGTTTCCCTAAACATTTTATCTGTCCTGTCACGTCCCGTTTTCTCAGAAGCTTACAGCATTTTCCGATCTTGTAAAATAATAATATAGGTTTAAATGGCTACCCTATTAGAACATAGTAAGCCGCAAACCGCATTACATAATGTGATACGGCTTTCGCGTGACAACCGGCGAATACATAAAAGTGCAAAAACCTTTGGCTAGTTTGTGTACCAACATGGTAGGTACCTACTAATAACTCCAATCGCTATAATGGCACAGTCTCTCCCGTCTTTTTTAAAAGTCAACCTCTTTAATCTTAATTTATTCATTATTCGGCATGTGACGATGCACAGCATCTGGTGAGAGAGATGCGTCTACTTCCGGTGTAGTTTTTTACCATTTTATACCTTAAATGACGTCATTTCCGCAATTATTTAATAGGAATTGATTTGACTTACTTCCGTTTGCCGCCATTTTAGTCACCTGGGGGCGAGCTTGCTCGGAGTTCTTCTACTCACCAGATGCTGTGCATCGTCTCTGCTCAATAATACAAGTTTTATTGTTTTGTAAAACTTGTACTATTATTTACAGTAAAAATGTCACATCCGTGTCATGCAGTGTCACAGCCGTGTTTACGTAGGCTATTTTGTTTTCTTTCCGAGGGCTTTAAGGTTGTCCATATACATCAAAAGTATGCTTTTGGTTTATACTTTCGATACACANTCGAACGCACAGCGTTGAATTGAGCTCTTGGATTGGTTCGTCTGTCACCCTGAGCATCCACGCGCACTATGAGACCTCATAGTAATGTTTGTGAATACGGGCGTAAGACTGTTAAGTATTTGCTTAGCTTTTACGAAGTTAGAGCCGAACGCTTGTACCAAAATCACTCAATCACACCATAAGTTGATAACATAGTATAGCAGTATAGCCACATCAAACTGAAAAATTAGTATAGATCATACATATCGCATGTCATTACCAATAATTATTTATTTATCTAACTCGTAGGCGGTCAGTCTTGCTGACAGTGACATATTAATTCGCTAACAAGTTCAAGGGTAACCGGACTGCGTTGACAGACATACAAACAAACAATGGGTAGGTATAGTCACTTTTTTGAGAATGTAACGCCCACGCGTATTTGACACGTTCATATAGGGATAATAAAATATACCAACCGACTTGAGAACCTCCTCCTTTTTTTGAAGTCGGTTAAAAATGTAGAAGGAAAACCTTCGACAACCAACTAGAGCACAATTTTCTTGTAAAATAATATTTTCAGAATTACTGACAAGTAACATACCTAACTACCTAGTTACATAAATTATTTAATTATGAAAAATAATTAATTGTATTGATGATGTTTCTAACGCGTTTATGTCTAATATACGAGGACTTAAATAAAAATTATTAAATTTTAACAGTTATTTATTTATTACATTACTGTAACATGTTCTTTTGTTTTTATATTTTCACGCGAATACATTTGGATTTGGAGTAGTATTAAAGATTAGGTAAGCATTTTAATAGTCGAAAACAAAATTAAAAGTGGTCTATACCAGGCAAGTTTGAATGGGGAAAATGATCATGGATCAATAATTGACTGTCCAGAACATAGCAAGGCTTTCTATCTGTCTGAAAAATGCCGAAAAGTAGAGAAATGGCTGCTCGAGTGAGACCACGTCTGGGCCAAATGATACATTTGGGTAACGTTTCTTGAAAAAATCGTTTGTTGTGTGTCGGCTTGATCAATCTATTAGCGCATAAACGATGAACAATAACGCAAATAGAGCATCATATAGAAGACATGCAAGAAAGACAAATGCATTATACATTAAAGGCCGAACCAAAAGAGATTTATGTCAGTTGTAACCACTTCCCACGTCGGCACACTCGATCACACATAACATTTCATAACACGTCGCGGTCGAGTTGTAAAATGCTATTTGCAATTTAACTGGTTTTGATGCTAATTTTTCGCACACGCGTTAATAAAAATAATATGGCGCCATCTAGTCCTGAACTAAGCAAAACTTGTATTATCTACCATTTAACATGCTTAGATATTGCTTTTTTACGCAAATGAAATTGATAGAAAACCAATAAAATTAGGACTCGATAGAGCAACTTAAGCACACTGCACGTCATAATAATCGGGAAACCAATTCGCGCCATTTTTATATTTTTTATGTCTTTGGCGAGTCTTATCCAGCTTCGATCAGTGACTTTTGCAAGTCTAGTTCCAGCTGGATGTCATAGCTGGATCATAATCCATGGCTGGATGGAGTTTTTATTATGCAGTGGTCATTATAGCGACCATTAAGTCTTTTACAGGTCTAATCCTTCCCCTTTCTCACCACTGCAACTCCTGTATAGCCAGGGTTACAGTTTGGCCTCTAATGAAACCCAACCAATAAAGGTTGAGTAGTCCTTGGGGATGTTTATTACTGTCTTTGGAACGCACGAATCGAATCAGGAGAATATAGGAGAAGAATGAAATATGATACCGACTTCCCTCCGTAGCAAAGTGGAAAGCAGAAGACTACGGGACTATTCCCACCTTTCTTTCCCACCGCTACATCCCCTGTTTACTTGTGTAGCCAGGATCTACAGCTTGACAGCCCATAAAAACCCAACCAGTGAAGGTCAAGTTTGTCCCAGGGGAAAGTTAAACTGTAATCAGAAGAACATCAGGAGGAGTTAGAACTTAAGAAGGATGAGAGGAAAACAGAAATAGATGACTGAAGAAAAGGTATAAAACTTTAAAGACTTTATAACGTAGTCCTGATTTCTTCGAAGGGCCAAGTACTTGCGTTGCATGTAAACAAACGCAGTGACATAACTGCAATTACTGCATGATCTAACGCCGAGAGATGTGGAAAGGCGCGTCGGCGAGACATTCGGGTCAGTGCAGCACGTGGGTTCTATTCCGGTCCGAGGCACTATTCTGGGTAGTGCAATATCGGTGTGATAACGTTTTGAATCCGTTAAAAATTGCAAAAGATGTACTAGTCAAAAGTACACGTACAAAGTAAAGAACAATAAATTATGTGGAGCAAAATACCATTTCGGCGGTTTTGTTGCCGTCTCTCTTACATCTTTTATTTGGAAAACTAGACAACCTCATGTGCAAAACAAGGAAAAATATAATGAAAAAAAATTCAACAGTCAGATTTTTTTCATCCTAAACGAGGAAGCTCCTGATGGAAAGTGATGATCAGACCGAAGGTGGAAGCGAGTTTCACCCGGTATTCTCAACCGGTTTAGGAATAATTATATGAAATATTTGTTATATAAGCAGTTCTTTAACTAGCACTCTTTGCTTTTTAACCGACTTCAACAGAAGGAGGAGGTTCTCATTCAGTTGTTTTTTTTCTCATGACTTTATAAAGTAGCAAGTTAGTATTGTAACAACGCCCGTATTCACAAACGGTGCTTGCTTAAGTGAAGCAGCAAATAGAACGCACAGCGTTGAATAGAGCTCTGTTATTGGTTCGTGTGTCACCCTGTGCGTTCACGCGCACTGTGAGAACTCATAGTAATGTTTGTGAATGCGAAAATGACCGAATATTCTAACCTAGACACAGAATAAGGCGCTTCAGCTTCATCGTGGCAGATCGAGGTCCGCATTGACAATCGACTGACTCAACCATCGTGTGCCAGCCTTCGACTGTAATCGACACTGTACCTACATTAGTGACATTCTGAGTACTTATACAGGGTGTACGAAAATAGAGCATATAAAG